TTTCTGGATAGCCGAGGGTTCTTATGATACGAGCCATAAGCTCGTCTGTGATTTACATATCTTTGCCAGCCCCAGGCAACGAACACACTTTGAAGCGAGCAGCACATTTCCTGGTCGGAATATTCTGCTGGCCCCAGAGCACATTTCACAGGCCTAATGGCGCTTTAGGATCAGATGGCTTTGGGCTACCTTTCACCCGTCTCATGAACAGATACTCTGACGATTTGATCGTTCGCGTTAAGCTAGTGACTTAAGCTGGTGGTGACTACGCGAGACGTCCATTTTTGGGGAGCGACCTTTGCTGTCGGTCCTTGATAACTCCGAAAGATAACTCCGATAACTCCGACTTGTTAGAAAGGTTGATAATGTAAAATAAAAAGAATCACAACCGTTCCCAAATCCTTCTAAGCCTACATGCATTCCACAAATACTTTTAGGTTATTATAAAACGCTGCCACTTTCCAAAAATGATGCGCACTATCAATTTCGGTGAAACTGTTCTATGTCATTTTGCAGCTGTAAAGCCAAGTCAAGATAAATATAGAATGTGATGTCCAATTAGCCCACAAAACCGTCGTGTCGAGGACGAACAACATTGAGATACACCAAGTGTATGCAAAGGTCATCTCAAGTTAGGTCACACCAGCTCAAGGCTTGAAAACTGTTCAAAGTGATGTCAGTATATTTTACAGCATAACACCAATCCTGCGATTAAGGTCCAGGTCACCGAACCTCTGTTTTTGTTTTTTTTATTTTTTTGGACGCAAACCACGGCATACCATGACTTGAGTCAGTTTTACGTTGCGGGCACGAAAAGCTGCATATGCACGGCAAAACATGACTTGACCTCACAGGTTTGACATTTCAGCCACAAGACCAATGGGAGAATCACCGGCCTACGAGCGTCATAGACCCACTGTGCCCGCCCCCTCCCCCCCGCCCCCGGGCATAAGGCCCGGCTTTCATACTTGTGGAGCATGGCTGGGGTGACGTGGTCGTTCAAGCAGCAATGTATGTGTCAGTACATAGCGCCCTAGTGCACAGAGTACCGCGGTGCCTACATATGTGAGATACAGCATCTATTCTCAGCCATTGTTTTCAGCTTGTCATGCAGCATTGGGAACAACTCTTTGGTGAGCATAACGCAGTGGATACCTTGGGTAATGACAGATCATCACATATTTCTTTCAGCGAGAGAAAAAATAGACAACGGTAGCAGCTGAATCTGCAGACAATTCGAAATCAGCCAATAAAAAAGAACCCAGCCAATATTCGGAATCAAGAAAATAGATTAGTGAATAGCGGTGATGAGCGCTTGAGCTACACGCCCAGTTAACCGCGCCCTCTGCGCACACGCCCACTGGCCGTAAGGGGGCGTGTGCGCAGGTCCGCGGACCTCCCACATTCGGCCGGGGCGTTCCCGACAACTGGAGCGCTAGCCTCCGGGCATGTGACAATCGGCACGCCTTGTCACGGAACAACGAGACCAGCTCCCCGCGTCACTTCTTACCCGGTTCCAGACGTAGAGCAGCACGCTTATGAGACCGTACACGCTCCACACGGCCAGCAGCCGCCTGTTGCCCGATACCAGCGGGTCACGGACCGTCCAGCCCTGGGCCAGCAGCATCAGCACCAGCATCAGCTGCAGCTGGGGCACACAAGCAGGATGACGTCAAAATCAGCTGTGGCACATCAATGATAGCGGCTTCAGCGCAGCAGATACACCGACTATCAACATGGGCCACGACAGAAACGGAGCGGCTCTGCTACCAACTGCCGCACAGACGCAGTGCGTAAACATCGCGGCGGGGGTGGGGGCTGGCGTCCTGTAAAGGCTTAGGTCGTGCGGCGTCCAGGGACCAGGGCGTCACACGGCAGCGTGGCGCACTGCCAGTGGTGCACCACAGCGGCAATACGATTGTTACGCCTACAGCCCCGTCCACTGCAAGCATAACCGCCATACAGTCCTACTGTATCCGAAAGTGTCACAACTTACAAACCGCAAAAACACGCCACAACGTTTCAGCGATGCGTGCACGGTAGTGCACGGAAAAAGAGCTTCTCGCAGTACCATTCCGAAATATATGACTTTTAAGAGGGTACGCCATTATCTCTGGGCCTAGCAGCCGTGCCCTTAGCCCAAGTGACCACGGCCCGAGCATTATTGCTTATGATGCTACGACGTTGCTTTCGTGGGGTTCTCTAGGACGTTAGGCCCATTCGTGGTGTCGCTGTGGACTATGGACTTGTTCTTTTCACCATGTGGTCTGGCACATGTTGATCGTCCGATGGCTATATCCATATTTGTCTTGCACACGGCGTGGGCGCGGAATGACGGACGCCGCGGCCTGAAGCCCTCATCATCGCCATCCTCAGGCGGAGGCTCCAGGGCACGTGCTTAGCCTGACTTTAGAGGGAAATGGAGGTTCGGAGTCAATGTCTGCTAGCCGTCTGGACCACTCAAGGCTACGGTCATTGGCAACCGCTAATGATCACCTCCAAATGGCACCATGATAATGATGGGTCATTCGACATGCAAAAATGCTGGTGCTGAATGAATACGCCCTCCGTTCCTTGCTTGTGTGACCAGCAAAATCTTGCTCCTACGTCCTAAAGGACATTTCGTTCTTGTAAATCTCATCCGCCTTGACGTGGTTTGCCTTCAGATCATGTCTGTCATTGACAGAATTCCGGTCGGACACTTACAGTTCACGCAAGGGCGATTTTGACCACCGCGGCCTTGAGCTTTGGCAGCATACTGGACCAGTAACCTAGCTATTAATAACCACATTGAGCTCCACTGCTGCCAAGTAACTCCTCTCGGATGACGAGGCCTGCTTCAGCATAAGCAGCGTGAATTATTACGTCCTGCAGGCGGCGCCACACAAGCTGAGTTCAGCATTTATTGACTCCGAACTCACCATCTGCCGTCAGTTTTGTGACGTTGGTCGCATTAACAGAATTATGGTGGAAAGACAAGGAACGCTCTTTCGTCAACATCCCTCACGCTTAGCCAGCACACAACGGCTTCTTAGCTACATGCCCGTCCGCTTAGCAATGAGGGCGGCCTCATTCCCGTTTATTCGTTGCACAATGACGTGTGCTTCAGGCTGGTAGATATACACTAGTTCGTTAAATCCTCGCGTAAATGAAATATTGGTCATGACGGCAGTGCAACCAAGCAGAAGAAGAAGCGCCGTCACACCCCAGCCATCAGCTGAGTGATCATGATCACATGGAGGTCACCTTGACGACCATGGTTAGATTGACCTCATGATCAGACCAGATCAGCTCCTGGTAACCATGATCAGAGCTCACCTAGATAGTCATGGCTAGAAGGAGTTTACCTGAGCGGCAACATCCAGATGGAACTCACCCGAGCGGCCATGTCGAGGCAGTCTCCACCGATGACCTGAGCGGCCATGTTGAGACAGTCTCCACCGATGCTCATCTCACCTGAGCGGCCATGTTGAGACAGTCTCCACCGATGCTTATCTCACCTGAGCGGCCATGTCGAAGCAGTCTCTGCCGATGCTCATCTCACCTGAGCGGCCATGTTGAGACAGTCTCCACCGATGCTCATCTCACCTGAGCGGCCATGTCGAAGCAGTCTCCACCGATGCTCATCTCACCTGAGCGGCCATGTTGAGACAGTCTCCGCCAATGCTGATTGGCTGAATGCCAACGCCGTCGAGCGCCATTTTGACGCTGTGCACGGCCCGCAGCAGCCAGCCGGCCAGGCCAGTGATCAGGGAGGCCGTGAACAGGCGGGTAAGACTGTGCCGTTGCTGTAGCGACGCGTACAGCTGGAACGGCGCCAGCAGCGTGTACAGGCCCATGAAGGCCAGGTGCACCTCCACAGTGTCCTGTGAGACAGACAGACAGGAGGCCACATCCCAGCCAGCTGCTCTCCACACACTGGCGCGGCGGGTGGGGGAGAGTGAGGGTCGCAATGCACGCCGCGTTCCAGCATCTAGTCTTTTGGGCACTGTGACTTCATGGCTATGCAGGCAAATTCGTGACGGAGTGAAATCGCCTCTGGACCGTGCAGATAAAAAGGCACGGCTGCCTGTAGTTGCGGGCCTAATTTCTTGAACCTGGATGTTCTGCGCATATCAAACATCCACCATCCACGTCTGCTACCAAATCTATGTGCCAAGAATACGTCTCTATACCCGTATGACGCCAACCAACAGATATAAGTGAGTTGCACTGGGTGAAAGTCAGCTGTTATCTTGAATTTCCAGGTTTCATCATGTCAAAAAATCCCCCTGTTTGTGTGAGTCGACACAGAAAGTGACGCAAACACAAGATACAGTAGCAACAGGTAGTGACCAACCTGCTCGTCGAAGGAGAACTGATACTCGAGTGGATTCTGGGCACGGTTGTGCGGGTTGCCGTTTACCAGCCAGATGTCGTACTCGATGGTGATTGGCTGCCGCGTGTGACGCCACTCACACGTCTGGGGGTCCCGGTGGCACGCCACCAGGCTGAGGTACCAGAATCTGACGACCCATAAGCGGCGGCGTCATCACCACTGATACCCGGGGATCGACCGGAAGGGGACGGGGCAACCAAAGTGCGAGGTGTTCCTGTGGTGGGAGAACGAAGATGTAGGGACCATATGAATAACAAAATCGGGTCATCGCTCAGCTGCCAACGCTATCTATATCAACGCAACCCGTCCCACTCCTAAGGACGTCACTGCCGAGGTCAATCAAACAGATGAAAATCATTTTCTTCTGGTTTCTGTTATGCAATAAGCGAGCACAAACCGTAGCCAACCCCAATGAGAATCGATTGCACTGAATAGCAATACGGAAGTTAGCAAAAGCAGCTGTGCAAAATGGCCTGTGGTGCCCACACACCAACTATCACTCCATACCACATGAGCAAGCAAAATCCTAAGGCCTAATCACACCTAAGTATGCACCGTAGCCCACTTTTCTACAGACAGCTACCCACACATTCAAATCACTTTAGCCCCCGCGCATGAAGGTTCACTTACCTAGGTTGGTGCACATCCTGGATAGAATAGGTGAACTGGTGTCCAGGAACGACGTTGGCGGGCGCGTCCTCGTCCGGGCAGAGTTCGCCGGCCGCGCACGGCACGCGCCGCAGGAAGTCCTCCTCGCCGTCGTCAAAGCAGCGACTGTCGTACGCCACGCGGCCCAGCTGGGCAAACATGCGGCGGCAGGCGGTGTCGCGGTCAGCCCAGCTGCGGTTCGTGTAGTAGTCGATGAAGAAGGTGCGGTCCAGCACGGCCAGCAGCGCCGGCGCCGGCGCGCCAGACGCCGACGTCACGTTGCCGAAGATGTGGCCCTCGGTGTCGTGCCGATTCGGACTGCGTGTCCGCTGGAAGCCGAACTTGGCCAGGAAGAGGAAGAACGAGTCGGTGCGCCACGTGCCGGTCAGGCGGAGTGCCGAGGCCGGCGCGGCCGCCACCGCCAACACCAGCAGCAGCTGCTGGCTGGAGCATCGCCGGCCGCTGACGGCGTACGGCCTCGTCGGGTGCGGGCCACCGGTGCGCAACGCCTCAGTTCCGCGCCGCGATCCTGCCCCGCCCACGCGGTCTCTGACACTCGCTGTAGGACGCCATGTATGCGCGTTGTACAAGCACAACTACAGGGCAATCTTGGTGTCTCTCAAATGTGCAGATTCTTCTTTTTGCTATTCGATGGAAGCAGGTTAAGCACGAGTGCCAGCCATGTGTCTCGTAACAGTGCGCTGTCTTGCTGGCGTTGAGTTCACGCAAAAAGTTCGCCTAAACGTCCTGAAATAAGGATATTTCATGTCATATACATCATTTCATTGAGAAATAGTGTGTCCCTTTTAAGGTTCATAGCAAGACGTGTAGTCACACTGAGAACGGCACGTGAGTATGTCTTCTGACTGGGCGAAGATATCGATATGAGATAAATGACCTTTAATCGGGTGGGTTATTTTGAGTAAGAAATACTCGAATAAAAAAAATAATACAAAATAAAGGTTGTGATTTAAGGTCCAATTCAGGGTCACATTGGAAGTAAAATGATAAAAGTACGATCCTTGTAATCTGCCGCACCAATAGCTACGTTCGTGCAATATACACTATGAAACCCCGCCGATTGCTTGACGGCAGACTTTCAATCCCGTCAAGCATTGCTTCCAATTTCCGTTGAACTAAAAAAGGCTGAACTGAATCGCGTACAATTCTTTTCAGAATATAGCACATTTGCCCTTGGGTAGTGCTTATCTTTGGTGGTCCCAATTGCAATGTCACGGTGACGTACTCATTGTAAAAGCAGTTCATACCAGAACCTCTGACAGCGGAATCTCATCGCCGATGTTTCATTTAGCACACGGTGGTGTAGATAAATATGTAACTAATTTAGCGCATCCATGTGATGTTGGTCAAGGGCGCTGCCATAAATATCCTGTTGACGACAGATCGTGACGGCCAATAACGTATTTCAGTCGTTATTTGACAAGCTGGTCAGTCTCGCACCAATCATGTCTGTGTTTCAGTTCTATTTGAAGGCTTCGCCACCGCCCACCACAGCCGTGAATTCGTTCAGTTTTACCATGATGCGACCTTGACCTGCCATCCCTAATCTGTGGATATTTCATCAGAGTATGAATGTTAGGTTTACGAGCAAGAACATCTAAATCTGCTTTCTAATGTAAAGGCCCTGGCGAACCGACCAATGAGCTCGGTTGCTGTCTCCGTCACCCTTTTCTTTGGAACGTAAGGAAAGTTTATGACGCACACATTTTTTAACAATAAGGAATATCACCTCGGCCATCAGCATTTGGTGACAGAGCAGCCGCTTCGCCCTCCCGGGATGTGGCACGCTTCGGTTTATTGTCAGTGTCATATGCGCGCCATCCCTTTGTGAAGCAGTGGAGGGATTTCACCAGTACGATAAGCCCCCGGAACTCTTTTCGTGATGACACCTTTGTAACATGTGCTTGTGTTGTCAGACATTGGGACGTAGCAAGCTTCCGTCTCCGCGCAGTCGACTTCGTAAATGTGAAGCCTCCATTTTCTCCTAATTGCTACGTCTCCGGCCTTGAGGTATTTTCTTCGGCTGGTATAGGCTTCAGTTTCGTCATTATTGGGGCTTAAAGATGCACTCAGCTGCTGAGACTATACGACGTCAGCTGTCTTTCACCCTAGCAGGAATGGCGGGCACCACGGAGAATCACACCCCACGGCTTCGACTTCGTGAATTTTAAATGGCTGCCTACAACTCTGTGACCTACAGCAGCTCCACACCACAGCATGTCCACTCTCCGGGGGGGGGGGGGGGGGGGCGCGGGCGGGTGGACGTGCCTCCCATCCTCCAGCACAGGGGGGGGGGGGGCATCCTCCTCCAGCACATAACATAAAGATGCACAATATGCTGGGAGGCATCCCAACAAAACCTTTTGACAGCATCCTGAACTACAAATGCAGTGTCCTGCTATCATATCTCCAGCCCCCAGTCTCCTTCAGCCAGCAAAGCACATGCCCTACATAACACCCCACCCCATTGTGGTGATTGCTTGGCTTCAACACGTGCCAACTCAATGACCCAAGGCCACCATCTAAGCTCTCTACAACTAGCTTCAGCCTGTATCTGCCATCACCAACCTGCTCTGTTTGCAGTTTTTCTCATCATCTAGGACAAATACAACTTTGAGGATGGCAGCAAAAAACCTCCATCAACAAAAAAGCTTATAATGCTCTGGTGCAGCCTGGGCATAAAATGTGGCTGGAGGAGACTAGCAGTCAGAGAGGTGACCATTCATGGTGATTTAGTGGAAAACTCTTAGTTTTTGGTGCAGGAAATCATACAAGTTGTATGACACACATCACAGCACACCATGAACCTGTTTGCTGAGTGCTGGCATGTTGAAGAGGAAGATGCTGACATCCTGTGGCACCAAAGATTCTGTTGTACCTCTGATAGCAAAAACTCCAACATTGCTATGGTGCACACCTTTTGTCTGATGACAGATGCTTGAGATTTGTGTCCGAGTACCTGAGCCAAAACCACCTTATGCTTGAGGTCAACATAAGAAGAGACAATGTTTGACACAAATGTATGCCAATCATCAAGTGATCAGGTAACTGCATCTTGTAGATCGCCACAAAACAGTCATGCTGCAAACAAATTACACACTGATCCACAAATTTGTCAAAAGTATGGTCTTTTCTCCTCCCTATCCAAATGTGTTGGCTTATGGAGCTTCGATTTTTATCACTATAGACACAATTTCAGCCCCGTGAACCTGGTTTGCACCCATTTCATAACTTTTTAGAATTTCAGGATGTTGGATGCCCTATATCAATTGCATGTAGGTGTAATTGTGGTGAAACTTGCCAATTTTTCAGAAAACCACACATTACCAAGGAGCCTGCTATTTACACACTTCAGAAAAATTATAAGCAATCACATTACCTGATACAGAAACTGTTACACAGCCTGATCCATGCCTTCAAGCCTAATCTCAGCATATGTCTGCAAAAAGTGTGACTACCTAGGCCATGCTGGCTAATGAAGCAAGGACCTATATGTGCTGCTAGCACAATCAGCCTGGCCTGCACCTTTCCTTACATTAATAGGATAATTCAATACAGGGATGCTAAAGAATACCTGAGATCAAATCTGAAAAAGGTGTTGCATGCCAAATGTCAAAAAGGTGCCACATGCTCTCTTCAGTTCCAGTCCCAAGATGCATGAGGTCAATATACTTGAACATTAGCCTGGTAAAGCTCCAGACCACATCTTACATTGTTTGTCCTTGTCATTGGGGGCTTTACGACACTCAGCTGCCCAGGCTATATGGCTTCACCTGGCCCTCATCCTGGTAGGAGGGGCAGGTGTCTAATATTCATATATATATATATATATATATATATATATATATATATATATATATATATATATGCATACATATATGGGAATTAGGCATTTGACAAATACAAATTATATAATTGTCTGAAAAGCCTGACAATGGCACCAGTACTGTTCTGAACAAGATATGCCACTAACGAACCTTAGTCGTTTGACATGCCGAAACCGGGACTGCAGGGATCTGAGTCTTTGTCGACATTTGTACCTTACGTTGCGAGAACACATCATGGTCATATTCAAGGAGATATACCGTCATGGTATACACACAACGGCCCCTGACATTGCTATATTAAATTGTTCACCAATTGAAGCTTTGTAAGATATAAGACACCGTAAATAATCCTACAACAGAAACATTTCATGGACAACCTATCTCCTTACCCTCAAAACACAATAATTACGATAACAACGTAACGACGGTGGACACCGGCCAACTTCGGCCCATTAAGCTGTTGGCACGAGACTGACGCGTCAAGGCCGACCCAATGGATCAACCCAACCAAAACACGTCCGTCAATCTACCAGCAGATTTATATCCAATTGCCAGCTGGATATTCCGGGCGGCACAGGCATTATTTTTGTATGTTGATTGTGTTAGAAAATTTATGTGCATCTTGAATGAATATTGTTGGTTTTCCTGTTTAGAAATTCCAGTAAGAATTCTGTGCTCATGTTGCGAAAAAATATTGCGACTAATGCCGCACGGTGTTAATTTTGACACTGACATGACATGTGAGTTTGCGTATGACACACCGTATTTCTTTGTGCTGACAATTTATTTTCAGCCCTATGATTCCCTGATGCAACACGCTTGGAAATCATTATCTCATGGTTCAGCTCATGAAATGTGTGACAAATAGGAGTCAGGTCATCAGGCAAAATAGCACTTTTCCTGGTGAGCGGACAGCTCATAACTCAACCCGAACTGATGGAATCATGAACGGATTCACAATTCAGCTAAAGTTGAACACAGGTCTAGCTAGCGTGTGTTTGTGCGAAAAAGGCTGCATTTTAGTAGTTGTTTACATTTTACGGTGGTTACATCAGACAAGTTGGCATTATTCTGGCATGTTGACTGTGTTCTTAAAAGGTTTTGTTATCTCATGCCTGACATTACAAGACTTTTGCAATAAGATAAGACAAAAAGTTCATTCATCACTTGAAATCCTGGATATTAACTTATCTCTTTTAGTATGTGCATACTAGCAATATATATATATATATATATATATATATATATATATATATATATATATATATCTCGCCTGGCAGTACCGAATTGCTTGGTGGTACCAAAATTGCGGTAGTTTTAAGCTTTTTCGCGAAAAAGTGCTCGAAGCGCTAAAAAATGGTTTCAGATCGTTTTTGTGGTCGGTACTAGTAGGATGGTTTTTCGATGGTGTGTTAACTAGTTATGTTTACGAGTCAGAAGACCGCCTACTCCACACGCACACATGACGGTGGCGGCGCCTGGCGACCGCCGCCGCTCCCCCGCCACCCCGCTGTGTAATCGCTGCGGCGGTCAAGAGGGGACTGGTCACCATCGTGAGACCTGATCCCTTGGCAAAAGTCGCCGGGCCTTGGAGGTGGGCGCGATATCGCTACCCGTGCCCGAGGAATGCTTGTAACTGAGCAGTCCGGTATCGAATACTGTGCAGACCGCCAACAGCCTGCTCAAGGTGCATGCACCTTGAGTGCGTGTTGCGGGATACGTCGCGGGATGCGTCGCGGGATGCGCACAACTTATGGCAATGGGCGTACTTTGCAGTCTTGTTTGACTTTGGACCTCAGATATTGAGTTGGCTTCATCAAGCCAGGTGTTTGCAACATTGCTTACGGCTGGTCGTGTCCTGCATTTGCTTTGCGGAAGCTGCCGTTCTATTTCGCACAGATCTTTCTACGCTCTTTTTATTTGAAGATGTGCCTTTCCATCAGCTGGAATTTTGGTATCACATTAGTGTGATATTTTTTTTGTATCATTCTTATTGTTTTAGTGTCACACCCGAATTTATGATGGCTGTAGCATTATCATACTATTAACTTAGTCAACGTCCAGAAATCGAGTGCGTTATCAGCCGCATCCAAACTGGTATGAATGAAACTACTAGCAAAGCTGCCCTCGCCCGCCAGAAATAGCTGCGTTCCAACGCGGTCGGCGTCAATGGTATGCAGACAGGGGGACGCGGCCCCGGACGCGTCGCGGCACACCCCGCGGCACGCCGCGCACAAAAGACGCCCTCCCTCGTGTGGTGGGCAGGGGTGGCCCGACCCCGACCGGCAAGTCGGACGGCTCCCAGGCGCAAGACCTCTCGATACCTTTAGCGTTTGCACTTAAGAAACGAACTGCCTGCTAGTTCGGACAGCCGGCTTTGCAATGTTGTACAATGCACGCAATTGCACTTGTGTTGAACATAAAACGTTAGATTCATGGGCATATGGGCCCTCCTATGCAGATTGCATATCTATTACCTGCGTGAAAGCCGTTTTCACGTCAAGTTGAATCACTGAAAACTTTTAAAAAGTTCAAAGTGTTTCTAGTGTGTTCTAATATACACTAAACACTCTGACAAAAAAACGGTTTCCATGCAATTTCGCTAGTATGCATAAGCAGACCTTTTGTATCCAACTAAGATTATTTGTGTGTCGAACAAGCCTTTTAATCATGTCAGAGACCTTGCTCATAC